CTGAACAGGATTTTAAACACGCTGAAGATGTCTGGAAAGCCTTCAACATCAAAGATTTAGGCCAGTATTCCGATCTGTACCTCCTTACTGATGTCCTCCTTCTTACAGACATCTTCGAACATTTCCGAGATGCGAGTCTAAAATCACATCAGCTGGATCCTGCTTATTACATCACCCTGCCTTCATATTCATGGGACTGTATGCTGAAGAACACAAATATAAAACTTGAAACCATTCAGGACCATGATATCTACCTATTTTTTGAAAATGGCATACGTGGAGGCATTTCACAGTGCATGAAGCGAAGATCAGTGGCTAATAATAGGTATTGTGCAGGCTACAACCCTTCAAAACGTTCCAAATATTTAACTTATGTGGATGCAAACAACTTGTATGGATGGGCTCAATCTCAATACCTACCAACAGGGGGATTTAGATGGTTAGAAAGGGACGAAATTGACTGCCTTAACATAGAAACTGTGTCAGATGAAAGCGATGTGGGTTACGTACTTGAGGTGGACATGGAATACCCGCAGTCACTTCATGATCAGCACAGAGATCTCCCATTCCTTTGTGAAAGGAAACCCACACCTGGCTCAAAACACCCCAAACTACTAACCACGTTAGAAAATAAGAAAAATTACATCGCCCACTATCGCATATTAAAACAGGCACTCAAACATGGACTGAAAGTAACCACAATTCATAGAGTAGTAAGGTTTGACCAATCTCCCTGGCTCAAACCATACATAGATCTAAACACCAACCTACGGAAGGCTGCCAAAAATGACTTTGAAAAGGATCTCTTCAAGCTTTACAACAATTCGGTTTTTGGAAAAACAATGGAAAACGTAAGAAAAAGATTGAACTACAAACTAACAACAAGTGAACGAAAGGCTGAAAAACTAATTGCAAAACCAAATTTCTTGCACCGAACAATTATTTCTGAAACGATGGTTGGTATAAATCTAGCGAAAGAAAACATAGTTCTTGAGAAACCACTTTATGTTGGGATGTGTATCCTTGAGCTGAGCAAAGAACTCATGTACAAATTCTACTATGAGGTAATAGTCCCACACTATGGAGAAGATAACGTACGCCTCATTTATATGGACACGGACAGTTTTGTCATAGAAGTATATACTCCTGATTTGTATGAGAGTTTTTTGCCAATTGTCTATCATCTCGACACTAGTAGTTTACCAAAAAACAACCTAGCATACCAACCTTACAATGCAAAAGTATTAGGAAAGTTTAAAGATGAACTTAACGGGACATACATTCAAGAGTTCTTGGGTGTTAGAACTAAAGTATATTGCGTCGTAAAAGAAGATGAATTACAAGATCCTATAAAGAAATGCAAAGGAATCACCAAGCCAGTAGTATCAAAAATCCTTCGTGCCGAAGACTACCGCCGTTGTATAATGGAAAATGAGGACTGGTATACTATGAACACAACTTTCCGGTCATACAGACACGACGTCAAGACAAAGTGGGAGAATAAATTGACACTGAGTGGTTATGACTTCAAACGCCACCTATGTGCAGATGGTGTTAATACTCTTCCATATGGACACTATGATATCTGTTAAAGTAGTTCATCAAACAAAGTTGTATGTTAACAATACAGTGATATTTATTCTAAACATTAAAATGTTATTCATTCAGTGTATTAGGACGAGATTGCTAATAAAAAAGTGTTAACTTATAATAATATTTGTAAATATCTGAATACTAAGCTTTCTGATTTGAATAATTTGTAAATTACAAACATAGTTTTATATTGATATATTGTTTTGTAAAGGATATAGTTACATTAATTCTTCGAAATTCAAAATTTATTTCACATGCGTTTTGAGACGAAGTTGCTTATAGACATGATTTTAATTGTTGCCATAAAAAGTTCTGAACATTGCATATTCACACTCTGATTTGTAAATAATTAAAAAAAATTATACTATCCAATTGATTTTGTTGAGGGTATATTATTATTACCTTTGTTAGCATTAGTACTTTTAATCAGTTTTTTTTTAGTTATTTCCTAATTATATATTTCATTTATGTATACAGTATAAATAAGAAATGATTGATTATTTTTACGCATAAAAATATTATAACATCAAGCAACTAATTATTATATTTTAAAAACAGTAAATTAAAGTTTTGTGTAAAACTATTTTCCATGTTTTTGCAATAAAAGGGTGCTATTTGTTCATATTTAACAGACCTTTGCGCCTAAGAGTATTTGAGTAAAAAGAATACTGTGTTAACATTTTACCATATAAATACATATATTTTTGTTTATTTTGAGCTGACATACTAAAATATTCTACATTAAGATACATTTTGTCTTATAATGGGATACAATTTCCGTTTAGGAAAAAAATACATTGTGTGAAACGTTACCTATAAAACAGATTGTAGTTGCTTTACTTATAACTTGTTGGTGAGAAAAGATAACGATAAGAGATTTAGTTTATTCATATAACTTTACTATTCAGAATGATGATCAAAGATTAATTGGGAGAAATATTTGTTGTCTTTATATGTATCTTTTTACTTACATTTGTTCTAACGTTGTAATAAAAATTACTTTGATTTATATGAATTGTATACTGTTTCAGAAAGTTATTCTTAATAAAACTCAAGTTGTTAAAATATATGTATTTTTTAACCCAACCTACTTTATTGTACAAAACAAAATGTATATACAAAATGAATATATTATAATTTTACAAATTTCTAGTTAACATAAAGCATAAGTATTATATTTACAGTATTTGTTTCGAGTAAGTGTTTAAATGACACTGATTATACAGAATACAATAATTGACACAGTTATAAATTTGCAATATATGAACTAAGATCATATTTCAATTACACAATCATATTAACAACACTTTGTACAACCTTAGTCAATGAATATTTAATGAATACATTGCTAACATCTTACAAATGTCGTAAGTACAATATATAAACAGAGATGACGTTTAAATTAAACCGATATTGAAGCAAATGAGTTTTTAACTTAATTTAATCTCAGTGAATACATAGCAGAATTATATGTTTACGATACATGGCTGAGATATCTTAATGTGTTTGAGGGATTGCACTGCTTAATTTTTATTCATGTCAAATTGTAATTCCACACTAATGTTCAATTTTTAAGCAAGGTTTTGTTTATAAATTTATGCAAACTACAGGAAACCAGTTACAGTGTGTACATGTTATCCAGTAATATATTATTTTAACTACGTTTACCAAACGTAAGATAATTATGAAACACATTGCAAGTTAAAAACATTGCATCACATACTTCTGAGGTCCTAAAATCACTATGTAAAACTATATAAAAATATGAGCTCATATTTGTTGCTTTAAACACAGTTGGATGTTAATGTTTAACTTAAATGTTTAGGCAATGTTTTTGTTTGTTTCTAAATTCATACATACTACAAAAAACAGTTACAGTGTGTACATGTTCTCCAATTATATATATTATTTTAACTATTTTTACCAAAAAGTGTGATGATTATGAAACACATTGTAAGTTAAAAACACTGCAACACATACATTTGTGGTCCTACAATAACTATGTATAACTATATAAAGGTATAAGCTCATATTTGTTGCTTTAAACACAGTTGGGTGTAAACATACAGTTCATAAAAAACGCTAAAGATTAGTGATTGATAAAAACATTTAGGGAATTAATCCTAACATATTTATTTCGTTGAAGAAAAAACAAATTACAAGTTTCCTAAACTAGGATATTTATTGCAATGACATTATGTTTACAAAACATCATGAAAAGAAATGTTAAACCCCACTAATTGTTCCAATTAATTTTTATACGTTGACATTTATGGTTTATTTCTGCATTTTGTGTCTAGCTAAATGAGTCACTGAACAACAAACGAAATTACAAGTACCGAATTACACATGAGCAGGAATATATTTGTACAACCTTAAATGGCAGAAATGTTTTTGATTACAGACTTATAATGACTTGCAAGATTGGTAGAAATTCATTTTTGTAGCATACATCCAGTTCATTTAATAGATTTAATTTGTTATAACATTCAAACCACATTGTTCAATAAATTTTATTTTTAATATTTGTAGATGAATACAACAATACATTTCAAATGGTATTGAATATATTTATTAAATACTGTTAAACTTTTTTGACCTACACTTTTATACCAAGTAAAATTGTATATCCCAATATTTAAAATTTCATATTGGTATAAATTCAGTTACAGATTAAATGATTAAAAACATAAAATGTGCACTAAATATACCCAATGTTACCCTCATACCCTGGTCTACATCAACTCACAATATTGGTTTTCAGGCTATTTATTAAAATAATTCCTTGTAACAACTCTCACTTTCCTAAGAGAAGAGAAATTCAGTAGCCCCCCAGGCATTGCACTATTTTTAGATCTCCTGGAGGTCCAGCCTAACAGAGCCAAATGGAACCACATGGAACCACACAGATCAGGATCCCCACACAAAACTCTGCACTTCCCCCTACTTTAGTGGGATCACGTATGGAACTTACGCTCCAAAAACAGTTTAAAGTTTGCATTTTTGTCTTAAAGGTTCAAATAATAGGTAAAATTATGTCCTTTAGTACAGTAGCATAGCCCTTGGAAAGCAATGAAGCCAGTATTTCCAAAAGGGCTCTGAAAATGTAATTTCACAATTATTAAGTGTAGGTAAGCCATTCAAACCTTTAGGTCTTAGCACAAACATTATGGAAGGTGCATCATTACTTTGAGTCCACTACAGACGCCGTGTGCATGTCTATTTTGATTTTGAGATGAACAAGTCTTTGGAACACTACAATTTCGAAACAGAAATTGGAATTGTATTAATCTTAGTGTAACTATTGTACCATATAGTACCTTCTACTTTTACATAATGGATGGTGTGTGTAGTCTTACCCACATAATAACTGTACCAAGGTCCAGTAAAGTGTAAACGTGTTACAGAACCTCAACATATTCTCGTCACTCTCAGCTGGCAGCTTCTCTACTGTGATGAAGGTACTCAAGCATAGCATCCTCGCAACGGACCTCTCCACTTACTTTGAGTGAGTAGCATTTGTCAATTCCATTGATCGGTAACGGAGTCCGAGTGTTAGTGACAGTTGTAAATTATTTAAGTCACTCACTTTACCTCTCCTGCTGTTCCTGAACCGTTCTTTATATTTTTACGGAGATTAGAGGGAATTCAATGTGGGTATTTAGGTTTATCATAACCAATTATTTTGCTATCACTGTACATTTTGTAATATGGAATTATTTTGATCAGTCTTATATACTAAATTTTTATTTACTTAAAACAGCTAGCCTGACCATACTACTGGAGCTAATTACATGCGGTTGGTACCAAATGAAAGATATTTTTCTGTAGATGTGCAGAATCCCTTAAAAATATAAAAAAGGCTAAAATAATAAGCACAAAAAAATGTTAATTAAAAATATATATTATGAGGGCCTTATGAGTTGCCATGTTGGTGGCGAAATAACAACAAAATATAAACAGAAAATGAAAATAAATTGAAGAAATTCCAATCACATTTTTTATTTACAGCGTGGGTTAAAAATAGAAAGGTTTCCATAATACATTCTTACTTTTGATCGAGTTTTCGACCACAGGGCGGGCTCTCGTTTGAATCTACTACGAGTAGATTAGCACAGTTGTTTATTAGTACAGTTGCGTATTACGACCTGAGTCAGCTACACAATAAGCACCGCCTGACATATGTTGCATCATCGATTGTACAGCACAATATGGAATATTAAATCTAACACATCTACGGTTAAAGCCCAAAGATTATCGTAAAACTTTGTCTGTTATAAGAATGCTGTTTCATAAACTAGGATATTATATTCAATGCAAAGACTTCCATTTACTAAGAATTTGCTTGAATTAATATATCATATATAGTAGTAATAGGCAGTCCCAGTAAAATAGGATCTGTTATATCAAATTATTGAAATAATTAAGATTCGTAAAAAAAGACTGAATTTTCTTGCATTTCCATTGTTTGAAAAAGTTATTTTTATATTCTGTTGATGATACTATATGGAAATTGGCATACTCTGGCATACCCCGAAGCAGATTCTGATGATATTTAATGGCAGGTTGTGGACCCCGAAGCAGACTCTGATGATATTCAATGGCAGGTTGTGGACCCCGAAGCAGACTCTGATGATATTCAATGGCAGGTTGTGGACCCCGAAGCAGACTCTGATGGTATTTAATGGCAGCTTGTGGGCCTCTAAGCAGGCTCTGATGATTTAATGGCAGGTTGTGGGTCCCAACGCAGACTATGATGATATTTAATGGCAGATTGTGGACCCCGAAGCAGACTCTGATGATATTGAATGGCAGGTTGTGGACCCGAAGCAGACTATGATGATATGTAAGGGTAGGGTGTGACTCTAGGTAAAGGTTGCGACCAAATATAATATGATATTCTATAGCGCGCATGTTAGATGCTGATGTTAATATGTGGTAAGTTACGACCCAAGGTAGGTTCTCAGTTCTGATGATGCTCTGTGGCAGGTTGCGGCCCAAGTTCTTCGCTCTGGTAGAGTCACGCCAGTATAGCTGGGAGTGTGAGGAACACAGAGAGTTGCTGAGGTCAATGCTGATGACGGCCAGTGATGTCGCAGCAAGCAGCAAGCCTTGGTCAGTGCAAGAGCGAGTAGCTCGCCTCGTCACTGCTGAGTTCTTTACTCAGGGAGACAAGGAACGTACGGAGCTGAACCTTCAGCCTCAGGCACTGATGGACCGCGAGCGTCAGCACGAGCTGCCTCAGCTGCAGATCAATTGGATAAGAGACATTTGCCTGCCTCTGTACCAGGTATATCATTGATCACGACTACAAAGTAATGTTCAATACTATATTAAAAGCAGAGTAAGGCGTGGGTAAAATTTGTATTAACGTTTGTCTGACTGTTTTGACTGACATCAAGATCAAACTTTCAAATATCTTTCCTTGGTATTTTGATTATAGCAATTGAAAAGACGTTTAGATTTCCCACATTTTAAGGCAAATATAAGAGAAACTCTTTTTTATAACTGCAGTAGATATTGTATTATATTACATTAATTGAATTATATTACTCCGATCTACAAATTTATATTTTTAAAAGTTGCTTTTCATTCTATTAATGTCAAATTGTTCACTTATATCAGATAAAAATCATTCCTTAGAGTTAACATATTGAAATTCATCATTAGCGAAGGTTTAACTATAGCAACTTTATCGTTTTGTTTTAGTCCTTGGGCCAAATGAACCCAAAGCTGAACGTGATGATGGAAGGAGCTATGGAGAATATGAAAAACTGGTCAGATCTGAATGCCAAGACTGAAGAGTCTCAGAGGACAGCGGTCCTGAACAGTGATGAGCATGAACACGTAGGTGTGTTGAACGGCGGCGTTGAACACGACTCCGGCGACGTGGCGTGATAACGCACCACTTCACAAGCAATATCTCCCTCCATACATGAGTCTACCACTGTAAATGTAAAAGGCTTGTATTTTAACTGGGTGTACATAATAATGTAATATCAATGAAAATGCAATAACGTGTTATTTTTACTATGACTATTGTAAAATACATATTTCAATCTTTGTAAAGATGGAACTTTGTTTTTAACTTTATTCAATGAGGTGAACAAATTGTATTTGTTTATCCATAACTGGGTACTTTATCCTTAACCGAAACTATCTCTATATTGTCTTACAAATTTTTATTTTGGTTTATTATCTTCAACTTCTAAATGTTTGATTTTATTGTTTTTGGACGTACAGTAATTTGTTAATTAAATGGAAAGATACATTTAACTAGACCTGTGGTGTGTGTACTTCGATAAAAACATACCACCGGTATTAATAATAAAGTTCTTGTGTCATAAAATTCACTCATCTTTTTGCGACTACTGAATATTTCCATATTATATAACGATTTAAACTTCTTACTGAAAACACACTTTTCCTTTGATCAAAGAAAGCAACGGATCGACTTGAGCTTGTTGTTTATTATGCATCAGATTTATTCAAGCTGCTTATAGGAATTCCTAGAAACGTATAAATCAAGTTATATAAATATATACATATTATATATTTTGTACAATATTTCAAGTGTGGTGACTTACTTTGTAGTAATGTAGTAACGTTTAAGACTGATTCCAGATGACCAGTAACAAGAATGGCGTTGTATTAAAAGGATATTGTAGATATAAATATAGTGTTTATACAAATCAATATTTGTTATTTTTGTTATACCTTTTCAAATAAAAATTGTTCCAATCTATTAGATTTTACAAAATCCTATTATTCCAAATACAGGTTTTTTTCACAAATTAATTCACTGTAAACCACAATCAATCATTCAATCTTTTGTTGGCAATAATTTTTCATTTTTACGATTAGTACCAGGAGACCAAGCTTTGCTCGGATTGAATTTAACATTTAATTTATGACATAAGTTATTGACCTAAATTAAAGTATTAAAGATATTTATTATGTACGGTAATCAATGTGAACACGTTTTTGATGACTCGAAGACAACATGTTAATACACCTTTATAAGTACATGGATTGCAACAAAAACACCTGTCTCAGCTGTTTAATTAATTGCAGCTACAAAAAATGTATTAATGAGAATTTTCAAGAGCTGTAGGGTGGAAACTGGAATTTTCCTAGCCTCGTGACCAACTCCAATCTATTTCTCGTGGCCAAATACCCCATAAAAACAAAAGATTTAAAGTCCTTGGACGAAAATAAAAGTTTGTCCGTACATGGACTTGAGTATAGGATTCAATCTATTAGGCCTACAATGATTTTTTAAAACCTATGTCACTATTCGTATTAGTCCATGCAGATATTGCCCAAAAACTATAATAGGCAGTAGTTTTGTTTTAGTCCAATCACAAATAGTAATTTACAGGTAATATCTAGCATTCAAAGAAGCTTGGTACCTACTCGCCATATATTTTAAGAAAATCTTACATTTATATATTTGCTTAGTAAAGGGTTTACATTTGTATTTAATCTAAAACATTTTACATTCACAAAAAAAATAAAAACTAAGAAATGTATAAAATTGTAGTAACGAACAATATATTAAATATTAATACTATCGTATTGCTATGAAAAGATTGGAAAAGGTTTTCATATCATAAGGTAAATCTTGGTTGTTTTCTCTGTATTTAGAATGAAAGCTAGAGGTTGGCCTTGGATCAACTAGCAACTATTACTATATAGCTTAAATCCATTGGTAATAAGCAGTACTGCATTATAACCCTGGAGGTCACATGGCCAGAAGTTCCTTGCTCTATGGTCTATCGCCTTGTCCAGCATTGTCCATGTAATGAATAACGATACTTATCAAACATAACATTCATCGACTTTTGATACGAGTGTATCCAACCTGAGATCCAACTATAAAACAGTTGACGAATGAAAACATTATTTGCATTATATTAAACTGCTATCTGATCTGTTAAGGGACTCCATTATGTTACTATAGTTTGCATTATCCACCCCGGTCAATAACATTACAAAATAAAGCAACGTAAATGAACCACAGCTATCTATCCAATAAAACCGAGCACCTGGTGCCATGGCAACCGTCCTGCTCGTTCCCAATATCACCATTACTTCGAGTAAAATAGTTTAGTTAAACATTGGACTTCATTTTATATTCAGATGCCACTTTTCCTTATTTGTTTATACTAGAAATAATTAAATTATGTTTAAATTAAATTTGTTTACTGTTTGCACTGGATAAAAGCAATTTTAAAAACTCTTGAGATAAGCTAAGTTATTTTAGTCCAAGTGTACCCCTTTTCGTGAAAAGAGGGAGTTTGTATGGAAAGGGATTTTAATTGTAAAAGATATATGTAAAATCAAGAAATACTCAAATTTGGTTACGGTCTTGTATGGAAGCAGTATGACATGTTAAGCTTAGAGTGAAATCCACTGAACATCTTTGATTAACTTAAAACATGCTAATATGTTAAGCTTAGTGAAAATATATATACTTTCTACCTTCCTATCTCATTAGTTTATTTCTAGATTTAATTGTTAGTTAGTCAAGACTCATAGTTTTTCATTATTTTTTACTTGGTTTGATTACACAACATAAAAAAAGTCTTGAAGAGATAAGCATCAAGGAAATATAAGGACAAGGACTGCTAAGACTATCAATGCATTGCAAAGTAATTTTTCGTCACACTGCAGCAAAAACAGCCATTTTAATGCATGCGTTGCGGGGCTAAAGTAGCATTTTTACTCTTTAGGGAATATAAATCATTTTTAGTCTCTAGGTAGTAAAAGTCAGCTGTTGTAAACAGTTGTAAATCGTATTAATCGAAATTATTTATCGATTTATTTATTAGGTAAGGTTTTAGCCTATTGTTGTAAAAAAACACACGGGTAAAAAGAGTCACTTTAGGCCCTAGTGATGAAATATACAATTTGTTACCGCCCGTGGTACTCAATAAAGTTGAATCTTGATTCTAATTGATCATTTTCCACTAGTAAGCACGTGAACATTTGGCGCTGCTATCTTGTCAATATTCTTAAGTGGTTAGGTTTTAAACACTGTTAACCTTTAAGATATTGTTTGTAATTTCATTGGAGCGAACCCACGTTGGAGTTTACCATTGGTGATACAGTAGAACTCTCGTATGCTCATCCTAAATATTCTGCGGAGTTTGAGCTCAGTAGACTCAACCTGTTATATGATTCAAAACTATCTCAGAAATTAAAAGTCAAACTTTGACATCACAAAAATAACAACTGTAAGCTAATGGTATGGCGATACTATTGCTAAATATTTTTTTATCCAGTCCAATTGAACTTTATTTAATGTAATGCTGAAAAAAACATTTGATTATTTACTACAACAGTCACTGAATTGAGTTAGTGATTTGAAAAAAAAACAGTTTAGTAAGAAAACCACCAACCTAATCCTCCAAGCTAAAACGTTTTTCCATTTTCAAGCAACATTTTTTATGGAATATAATTACGGACATTTTTATTTAACATTGGACAATTGGACATATTTGATGGAAAAAGATATAACTACTGTAGTAGAATTTACCGATACGTTTTTAAGTTTCGGTGACGAACAAGTCCCATAGGAACCCCAAAGCCAATACTCTACGAAAAAATAATGTGCATTTAGTATAAAAACACGACTACTTATACCGTCAAGTTTAATGAATCGTCAAAACAGAAGGCTAGGAAAGGCTATTGACAATGATAGTGGTTTGCGTTAATCACACACTACGTCCAACGCCAGAACAGTTTCATGCGACCCACAAAAAGCAATAATATTGTCTCTCCACTTTGTACTTTGACAACAGATATTGAGAATTTCTCTCTTCTAAACACACAGTTTTTTGTTTGTATATTGCCTCATCATCAGTCCATGCTGTTTGATTGCACATTGCAATATTGTTATTAATTAATTGTGATTACTGTCGTAAGTAACAAAGGCAAAACAATCATTGGCAACTTAAAACACACTGTTTCATGCTGCTTAATGAAGGAGCTTTTAATGCCTTCAGAGGGTAAAATGTTAAACTACTATCGTAAGATTATTATTTTAATAAAATGTAGCTTACTTCCAGTTTGAAAAAATAGTATAATTGTTCAACAATTAGGAATTTTACTGCCCTTTGCAAAAATAATATACTATTTGTAGATGCTCAGTGAAATGAAGCTATACCAAACCAGCCGTAGAATTCATGACAGGGCAACGAACTATCTTTATGTATGGAACTAATATAGAAACTATACATTAAATATTATTTTGGTTTTAACATACAACCTTTACGTTTTTGTAACAACCTTTATATTACATAAAAAAGCCAATGTTTAACACCAAAAATATATGCAAAATAAGCAAAGTAGTAATTATAATTAAAATCTGGTAACAAATTGTGTTTTCAAGGTTAACTATAAAGTTTAATAACTTGCTCATTATAAGAAGTTAATCGATTAACGTCAATTTATCAAATTTGTATATAAAACGCGTAATCTGTAAAATTCTATAAATTTCTTGCTTCGTCAATCGTAAATACGTTTACAATCCAGCATCGAAATTCAATAATTAATTAATTAGAAATCTTATCAAACTTGGTGACAGTAATAATATTAAGTTACCAATAGCAAAACTTAATAAACTAGAGAATGTTTTTTTAATACTTTGTATAAATTATTTGTGCCAAGTTTGTCATTTACGAACTTTAAAATATTATCATTCTATCAACATATTAATTGAATTATTTATTATTCCAAATTACTATTTAGTTATTTCTTAAAAGCAGATTTATTTTAGGCAATCAAAGGGATTGGCGATATCGTTTTATTCGATCTTCCTAAAACGTCTAAAAATAAAAGTTAATGTTGCAGCAAAGTAGTTTTTGGACTAGTTTTTCAACCATAAAACATTTTATAGGCCTACATTTACTACGGAAAGCCTTTTGATTTCCAATTTTTGATTTTTTTTTTACTTATTAATGTAACTAAGTTAAATTCACATTTGATCAGCCGTTATTAGACATTATTTCAATATTTCAGTGTTGTTAGTTTTATTTACAAATTAAGTTAATTCCAATAAGTTTTAAACGTTGTTGTGAAATTATTGGTTTATAACGATTGTTTGAAGGAAATTTAAAGAATACTTACACAATTTTCCATGATTTTTAAATCTTTCCCAATTTTATCTTTCATGAGTTTGGCGAGTAATGATCAAGAGGCCTACAGTTTATGGACTGAGTTAGTGATGTTTTATGACGAAGCGGGGATTTATATTAGAAGTTCAGGCCATCTACAGCAATCCAGACCTCATCATATATCACCTCATGTCAACCGGGTTGAATCTGGCACTCAGCGTTCAGCCGTCACCGCTAGCGTTGACGTAAATATTTGCAGATTGCTCTGAACATCCTGAAATAATTACTTCAGTACTTTTAGAAATATATGAAAATCTTAACATGAATGGTATACCATTAAGATTGTTATTTTTTATAAGCTGTGAAACATTTGGACTTTAATTTTAAAAAACATACCAATCTAATATTGACCGCAGCAAAACTACAGACTAAGCAAATTTTCTTGATTGGATTTTCACTTAAACATTTATTTTCTTTTAAATTCCAGATTTATTCGTTATTTTAAAAACTTAATTTCAAATGAGCTCATAGGAATACCACTACAGGGATTGTAA